ATTCACAGGCTTTTAGAAACATTCATGGGAGCCCTGTATGTTTTCTGTGTTTGATATATAGCTTGATGTCACCGTTGAGTGGTAGACCAACATGTACACTATATTAGTATAAATAGAACTGCACGCATGTCTGCTTTCAAAGTTAAATTAGTTACACATAAACCATGAACTGGCCTTCAGCTCAAGCTTTTCATTTCTGGAGGTAAGGCGATACAGCTGGTCTCTCAACATAAAGAAGTGACTGAAATGTGTCTTCCAGAGACTTTACTAGGACCAGCCCCTTTTAGACATGAGACATGAAACTGCCTTCATCAATCTGTTAAAGAGACGGCATCTATCATTGGTCACTTTTCCATTAATGTTCCTCACCACTGCATTTGAATATACCCACCACAGTGGCGGAGAGCGCTGCAGTAAGCACAGGATATTTGACATTCATGCGAGACTGGTCAACACACCAAGTAATTCATAAAACATCATAATGTAATAACGGACTAAGTTAGCGAATAGCAGCTTATCAAAGTGTTCAAATAACTAACAACCCTGATATTTGTGATTATTTTAACAAAACTAAGAGTTTAGGAATCTGATGGACGCTTTTTCCATGACCGGATAACTTACAGGTAAACCGAATTAAATAAGCTACAATTGTTCAGCAGCTCTCTCTCTTTGAAAACACTTCTGGATCCTACTTTTGTCTGATGATGCAAGTTTGTATAAACTACAAAGAAATAGTCCTAACCAGCTGGAAACTAAACTAAACTCTTATTCTGTCCTGATATGAAGACATGTAGGTCTACACAATGTGACCTGTAGTTGGATCCTGACCTGGACTGATCCACTCTTCATGCTCTCTCAGAGACAATTTACTTAAGTTAAATGTGCGCAAATTCTCTCTTTGTCTTTGGAAATGGACATATGAATCTTGCTGCTGTCTGGTGCGACAGGTATTTTAAAAAAAACCTCAAAGCTAATAGTTCAAAACAACTGAAAGAAACATATTTCCACTCCTTTGTACATCTTGTGGGGAAAAAGCTCTCATTACATTCATTATATGTAAGTATCATTAATCTTTAAGCTCTCAGTGTCTGTTTTCATTGCAGGAAGGTTTTGTTATTGTTGACATTTTATTTTGTAGCCTAAAAGAATTGAAACTATAGCACAAAGCGTGGGAAGGATGTGCGTTGTGATTTTGGCACATAAACTGTGTATTAAGCAGCTCTGTCATGTTTTCGGACGAATATTGGTGCTGTAATGTGGAAAAATCCTTCCTTAATTCACTTCACAAAGTTCCGCTTCTTGTGCGTGTCCATCTGTCACACTTGTGCCATGTTGAAAGTGATACAGACATGTTACCAAGTCCTACCTAGTGGGATGTCTGGTGCCATTGTTAAGGAAATGAGACCAAGGTGCACATTTAGATATGATGCTGATTTGCCATCAGATTAATGGAATGTGGTGCAT